CCTGTATGTAAATAATGTTTTATTACATCAAAACTTCTGGTCAGAGTTTGTTTGTTATATATACCTTTAAACATTTTCTTATATATGGTAGTTTCTACACTTACAAAAACACGTTTCTTATTCAGGTGAGAATTTCAGCGGATATGGCAAACTACTAACATAATCATTAAAATCTGGCCGCGCCAACACCCCTCTCTTCGTCGATTTTCAACTCTCGACCCAATTTTCTCGCGACCAGTATTCGAGAACTCTTCGCTCGTTCGGGAACAATTGCTACGTAGGCTAACTGTTCTCCCAATATCCACTCTCCTTATTAAACCAATAAACTACAGATATACGAGGTCAGATCACAGGATGGGTATTAATCAGATCTATTTAAGGGAGTCGCTTTGACTTAAACGATGCACAGAAACAAAACAACATCTTCAGAAGAAAACCCGCCGGCCGGAGTCGTCACATTAACGATGTCGAACTGTTCCTCGAGTCTATTACTTGGATACTTCATGCATTGCGTGAGCCAGGTAAGCAACATTCCCGGATGTCACACCGGCGATGGAAATCCGACCGTCCTTGGTCAAATAGATCGAGAATTCTTTCGTGAGTCTATCAACCTGAGGAAAAAATGCAATCAATAATCATTAACATTCAACAAACCATCACTCGATAATTACTTCATAAATAGACGTCACGCCTGGTTTTCTATACGACATAAGCACAAGCATAAGCATAACGGTAGACAGGACGCCCACGAGTGTTGCCTATGCTTGTGCTTATGTCAAGTGAGAACGCGCTGTTGTAAGCATAAGCATAAACATCATCCGCCATCTTGTTTTACTGTATCGAGGTACGAAACCGAATACAAGACAATTATCTATTCTGCGCACGAGTGCGTCTTTATGCTCGAGTTGTGGGCGTCCTCAAAACCAGGCTTCAGCGTGAAAAGTCAATACTTCAGCACAGTTTTTTCTTCTTTTTAGGTTTAGGGCTACGCCTCGCATGGGGTACTTTCCCGTTAGCGCAACCCCTTTTGGTCTTTGCATTTTATTTCTTATTAATTTGCGATATATGTACATGAATATGAATTCTGAAAAACACAGCAGTTTACTCAACGAAGTGCACAGCGCGCGCAAAATGGCACGTACTGTCCAATTACAAGCATGACGCGTACACTGTCCAATTAATGCTCAAATCGGGCTGCTGATGGCCAATCACGTTCGAGAATTTTGTTATAGTTTTGATTAAATGAGAAGTAGACGTGCAATTCGTAGTGAACCCATGTTATTTTCGTTTTGGCATCTGTCAATACTTAATAAACACTGCATAATCGTGAAAAGAAATCCGTTCGATGCAGCTTGTGAGCACTAACCTGGTCAGCTTTAAGCCCTGTGAAACAAAACATTCCAATCTGATTTGTGATGTGCGACCAGTCATGGGACGAACCTGGCGAGGAAAGAAATACCAGAACATGGATGTGATTGGTCTAAATGCACCACGTGACTGAGTATACCACAGTTAAACTAGAAAATATCCGAGAGATATTCCCCAACTGTCAAAAGAGCCGCGTGTCGCGAAAACGTTTTGAGGGATAATAAACACAATAGCCTCCTTTTGAGATAACAAATATATTCGGATATTTGTCCCTGGACATTATCTGTTCCTTCAAAGCTCACAGTTGCCCTCAAGCTTTGCTCTCGGAAAACTGTTTCTGACAGCGAAACAGAACAATGTCCGGGCATATTTTCGCGCCGGATAGAGGCTATTTTTTTATATATTTTTGCGCCAAACGAAAGCTGTTATTTATATATACCTTCTTTCTTTAAATTGTCAACAAGTTGTTGCCTCATGGAGATAATTCTATCAGCCATTCCCTTAACTTCCACCTCCCACTGAGGTCTAAGTTCTGGGTCGGTTAACACCATCCCTGCAATACGAGCACCGTGGATTGGAGGGTTGGAGTAGAGTGGGCGGATCAGTATCTTGATTTGGGACAGGACTCGCTCTGCTTCCTCTTTAGAGTCACAGGTAGCTGTGATCATTCCAACTCTCTCACCTGATAAACAAGATCATAAGGTAAAAAATTAGTATAAATTGTTGCTGAACGTAGATTTACTACTGATTTTAAGTAAGAAGTTAGCAAGTGTGCTTAACTACAGGTCAACATAGATTGGCAAAGAAAACAGTATCACTCAGGGGTGAAAGGCATGCCAGTGGGATGCAGGGAGTATTAGGGAGTAGTGAGATGGCTC